TTTTTTTGCCCCCTCAGTAACAATTTTTCTTTAAGAATGTTCAGTTCTGGAATCACAAAATAAAACATAGTTAAAATAAAATTAAATACAAAACAATAAAATAAAGTATAAAATTCAATACAGTAAAATAAAATATAATATTAAATTAAATATAAACTTAAATAATTTTATTAAAATAATCTAACTTTATTAAAATGCTTTAAAAACACCTGATAAAGGTGTAATTTGAAACATTATTTATTTTTTACTTTGTTTTCCCCTCAATCACAAAATCATAGTAAAAAATAAATTAAAATAAAATAAAACGTCATAATTACAGAAGAAACACTGGAGGTGATATATTAGCGTATATGAGGGAGTTTTCATGTATTGTGTTGGACTGGGCCAAAGAGGTTGAGAAGCACTGATCTTCATCATCATCATCATCCTCCTCATTCACTCCTATCACGCCTCCTCTCTCCTCTCCCCTGGTTCTCCCATCACCTCCTCTCGTCTCCTGTCCTTCATGCTCAGTGAGGTTCTGTCTGCTGTATTATAGATGAAGATGTCAGGCACACAGTGACGGAAACACACCTGGCCTTTGTGAAGTCTCCAGGGTTCATATAATGAAAGCAGATCAATGAGGTAAGATCACACTTCATTTGGTTATTTTGTAACTGAGAGACGCTGATGATGATGATGATGTAGACTGTGACTTGTGTGAAAGCGTTTGACAGACATATCCGAACATGGCTGGTGTCTGCCAAACACTTGCTAAACTGTGTGTGTGTGTGTTTCTCCGGGTCGTGTGACTCGCGTCCAGCATGATGAGAGTCACTCGACTGAAGGAGGTGTGTGTGTGAGAGTGAGAGTGTGTGTGAGAGAGAGAATGTATGTGTGTGTGTGTGTGTGTGTGTGTTCATCTGCTCATCCACCTTCACACATTCAGAGAGATTCTGAGGCCCTTCATCTTTCATTTTGTTAAAATCACCTTCATTTCTCTGAAAACACTCAAAGAGTGCCGATTACTGACGGCTATTGAACATCTGAATCGGCCTTTTGACCCCGAGACTCGAATCATCCAAAACAAGATCTCAAGA